TATATATATATATATATATATATATTATATATATATATATATATATATATATATATATATATATATATATATATATATATATATATATATATATATATATATATATATATATATATATATATATATATATATATATATATATATATATATATATATATATATATATATATATATATATATATATATATATATATATATATATATATATATATATATATGTGCACAATATTTTTTATCTTTTTTTTCTGGAGTCACTACTTTTTCCGAAGCAATTTAATAAGGTAATTTTTATTAGAATATTATTATATTAAATATAAAAGTTTTGAATAGTAACAAAGTGATTTATATGTTGATTTTGTAATTACACATACTAAGTTTCACTTTAGATTAAATAAGTTAATATTTAGATTTATTAGATCTCAGTAAAGAGTAGTTTAAATCTTATGACTAACGTGTTTCAAACTGTAATAATACTTCATGGGTATGATATAAAGTATAAATTGTGAAAGTTTTTGCATTAATGTTTTATTTCCAGACTAATATATTAATTCGCTTTTTAGAGGAAGTAAGATATATTCTGATTAAGAACAATGCTTCATTAAACAATGGAGATGCATAAAGATGACAAATGTCCTGCGATGCAAAAACACCCTAGTTATAACTAATAACATTAAATCTACTGTATAATTGGCAAACTGTATACCGAAATGCTTCGAAAGTTGGTGAAATATTTGCTGTTATCTATTTTTTATATTTTTATTATTAAATAATTGTATTTAAATTAAATTGTATTTATGTTAAATTGTATAAAAAATAGTTAAGTTAATAATAAAAAAACAAATAATTATTTCGTCGTTTTTTTATGTATTTTTCGATAAATTCCCATTCAATTTTATGATTGCTATAAATAATAGTCGCTTTTGTAATCTCATTTATTGATCAAAATTAAAGCAGGCTAATGTCCTTTTACTGATCATGGCCCGACGTCATTTAACTGATCTCGGCCCAACGTTGTTTTGATGATCTCGCCCCGATATTATTTTGCTCATATCGGCCCAGTGTCCATTTATTGATATCAGCCCGATGTCTTTTTGCTGATATCGGCCCAACGTCGTTTTACTGATAGACTCATATACATCGTTCTGATGAGCAAAAACTACGTCGGCCCGACGTAGTTAAGCTACCATCGGCCGCTGTAAAAGCCTACGTTGTGCCGACGTCGGGCCAAAGTGTATATGTTATCTGGGATGTTACTGTCTCTTCCAATTTATTAGATATAACATGTGGGGTTCCTCAAGGTTCTATACCAGGACCTCTTCTCTTTTTAATTTACATAAATAGTTTCCCTAAAAAATTTAATGACGGTCATATTTGCCGATGATATTAATTTCTTTTTATCTCATAACAACATAACATTATTCCAAAAAATGAACATTGAATTAACAAAAGTTTCTGACTGGTTTAAAACAAATAAGCTGTCACTAAATGTTGAGAAAGCTAAATGGATACTTTTTCATCAAACTTCAAAATAAAAGGTAATGCTTCTGTCATGCCCTTACTTTTTACTGACAAAATTCAAATAAAAAGAGAAATAACTACTAACTTTTTAGGAATCAATATTGATGAAAACCTTAGTTGGAATTATCACATTAATTTGTTGTGCAGCAAAGTTGCTGCACAACAATATATAGGCCCAATATATTTGAAATATAGGAGTAATGTACAAACCCAGCAAACATGAAAGCGTTGAATCAACGTTGAAAACCAGTCGCAGCGTCGAAAAAACGTTACAGTCACAAAAACAACGTCCTTTCAACATTGAATCAATGTCTGTTTTTGTATACTAAATCGCGGTAAATTGAAACGTTGAATAAGCGTTGAAATTGTAACGTAATTTAGCTTCTCAAAATAAAACGTTTATTCAACGTGGAATCAGCTTACGCAAAAAGCCACTTTAAAAACGTTTTAAA